TCAGGTAGGTTAGGTTTTACCTTGCGTTACACAGCTGTATTGAGATAACTTGGTAAGTTAGTAATACTGAAATAATAAAGCTGTTGTTAGCTTAAGCCTGAGGAGCAGTTCCAACTCATTTGTATGTAAGGTGTGTAAGCCCAAAAGAGTACTCACGTGTCTCTTCGGAACTTTGTCCTACACCAAGTACAGCTAGATCACTCAGAAAATATTTATGTAAGCTGGCCAAAAGGCTGCCAGGGCTGGAAGTGCCTGATTCCTCTGGGTAGCCTCTGCCATGGGGTGACTTCTCCCAGGAAGGAAGATCTTTGAGCTCTGACTTGAGAGATTCTTTGTAATAGAATAAGCCAGTTTCTCCTTCTTTTCCTGTTTTCTTGGCTCCCTGACCAGAGGACCACACATCAGGTGCTGACTTGCTTTTCATGTTGCTAAGTCCCCCATATATGCGTTTTCTTCATTTTTTTTTTTTTCCTAAACCTATCCTCAGATCTTTCTTTATTCATCTGTGCTGCAGTGTGATGGCCAGAACTGTCCTAGCACTTGACCTAGAGAAGCTCAAGTCGAAAAGATGGAAAGTTATTCCTGTATTTTATATTTATGTTGTCATGGTAACACATTTTATCTTAGATTCCTCTTTCCTTGGTTGTTTTTGGCAAGAGTATCTCAGCCTGTGGCATTGTAACCTTACGTGTTTTTGTCACTATTGCTGCCTGCCTAGACTGTGAGGTTTTGTGTTGTTTCGTCTGATCTCCTTCAACCTACCGCCAGCCTGTTTGAGATTCCTTCAGGAGCTCCCTGAAATGTTGAGGCTGGAAGCTGGCTGAAGGCAAGCTTGTAACCCAGTGTTACACGCTAAGTTCCCCATTTTGTTCAAGAAAATGTCATGTCAGGTACTCTGAGAAGTTGCGGTGACAGCATGTCCTCCTCTGGAGTTGCATTTGTTCTTACCCACCAGGCTTATTTCCACGTTGGAGGGTGTGAAGTGTTACATTGTCTTTACGTGCTTTGTTTTTGACCATTCTGTAGGTTCTTATTTATTCTCTTGTTATCATCCAGGTGCTTCTGTATTGGTTGCTTGGTAAATGTTTTCAGCATCTCTTCTCTTTCTGAAGGTAGTGGTGTTGTGCGGCTGCTCCTTTCTTAGGGTGGGCAATAACCTCCTGCAGTCTGGTGAATCTTCTCCATGAATCTCCAAAACTTACAGTTTTAGTTGATGATAGCTCTTGCTACATTGCACATGGGGTGGTTTCAATGATTTCCAGCTTCCCATAGGTGGGAACTGTCATGAAGTTCTTCACCTACCGTTTTCTTTTTCCGAATAGGCATTTGCATCCAGTTCCCTGAATAGTTAAAATTATGTTGTCTTGTCACCTTCACTTTCTCTGTTTTCTTCTCCTGTGGCACCTTCCCTCTTAATTCCAGATTTCTCAGGTACACACCGTGAGACTAGATAACCTATTTTTGGTATGCTTTTTTGTTTTGTTTTACTAACCCACTTTTTCACTTCTGTGACAGTTTTGCTGCTGTGACTGTCCCACTCATTTGACTAATGAGTTTCGAAGGGTATTCCTTCTCTTACCAAATTAGACCCCCAGTCTCTTCATCAGCTCTTCCTGGAAAGCCATCCTCTACCTCACGGCCAGGAGTGTCTGCGGTCCGTTGGTCAGTTCCCGTGTCTGTCTGTGCCTGTCCTCTCTGCTGGGTGGGCTGCTGCGAGCGCAGGCTGCGACCCCGCAGCCATCACGCTGCCTCTCACCTGGCACCTCTGCTAGCTGGGTGGGGTAGTTAATAGCTACCAGTCTTCGCTTCATCAGTGTTAACCTGTAACCTCTTCTCGGTCTTTCACGTCCCTTCTGTGGTGGTCGTGGGGGTCTCGTGCTGCCTGTGTGTTCCTCTGCGGGCAGCATCTCCGCATGCTGCCTGCTGGTGAACTCACTGTGGTCCTGGATGCTTTGCTGTGGAGTTTTCCTCCTCTCCCAGCTCGCGGAGGTGCTTTCTGAAGAGCTGTGTGGTGGCCGTCCCACAAGCTGGGACCCCCGGCTGCCCCCTTTCTTGCTGGGGATCTTCCCCATGGGTCAGGACAGGAGCCGGCACAGCCTCCTCCAGCACCCGTACCTCTGTCTGGGCAGGACCCAGGGGGGTGCAGCCGCAGGAGGAACAGACGTCAGCACCGATGACACTCATTTTTCCATCCGCTATCGGCTCTGCCCTCCAGGGCATCCCTAACAACACAACAAAAACTTCGCACTCTCTGCAGGAGCACCTGCCTGGCTTCCTCTGCTGAGCTCCCACTTCCAGGGCGAGTCAGACTCTCCTCGTTCTCGCTCTTCTATTTGGCAGCTTAACCTTTTTGTGAGGGGGTGTTTGGCCCAGGCCACGGTGGGGGTTTACCAGCCCTGGCTGCAAGCAGGGTGTGCCTGCCTGGGCCACAGCCGCTGTGAGAGCTGTGCGTCAGGCAGTTATCACGCCGGTTGCTAGGCAGCGTTTTAATATTTACCTCCACTCTTGACAGGCATCCGTGTGTTGCTTCACCCCTTCTGCAGTCCGACTGTCGGGCTGCAGCAAATGCAGCTGGTTAACAGCTGGGCATGGCTGGCTGCGGCACACAGCCCTCAGAAGAGGAAAACCAGAACAACCCGCAATAAAAAGTGGTGCCCCAGTGTCAGGCTGGTGTTGACAGACTGCGTGGTGGCTGCCAAATGAGGGGCCGGACCCCCGTGGTGTTGGTCTGCGAGGCTCAGTGTGGTTGCAGACCCCTCATGCTAAAAGGCTTGGAAGGACAAAGACCCACTTCTTCCTTGTAGGGGCTCTTTTGTGGGAGAGAGTGGAAAATTGGAGGTCTTGAATATTGTGGAATTGAGGCAAAAAGTGCTGTAAATGAAGCAAGGCAGACCGTGCCCCCGGAAGACGATGGTGGTTCAGCATTGCCCGTCTGCAGGGAGGTGGTCTGCAGCAGGGTGCCCTCCGCTCTCCACCACTCTTCCCTCTTCCCTGCTCTGGCTCCCTGGGGCAGGGTTTTGTTTCCCCGAATCAAGCCCGAGTGTTTGCAGGGAGGATGGCTTGGCATTCTTCATAGCTGCTGACCAGCAGCCATGCATTAAACTGTTTTCTTTCCCCAAATGATGACTCTTCCACCACGAGTGTTTAAACTCCTCATCTCTTAGTTTCTGCTAGTTACTACCAATCAGCTGGACAGGGTAGAAGGAAGCAACTGGTCTCTTTGGGAGGTTTTCACTACTCTTTGCAGGTTTCTCCTGGTTTGGCTAAACAGGACTTTTTCTCTTTTCAGGAGTTTTTCTTTCAGTTACGTTTCTTCTAAGTAGCCGCA